CGCGACCGACCTGTTCGGATTGGGCGCATTTGGTCCACCCATGGTTGCCGAGCGTTCGAGCTGCCGCCCGAAGCGAGAGATTGGCCTTCGCTTCCGACGATCACCGCTCCCGATATCAGGAAGACTATCGCTCGCTTTCCTGTGGCCCCAGTTGTTGGTGGTTGTCGCATGCACCCCCGCTCATTGCAATAGTTATCTGGCGCCGTTCTCGCGGCCATTCCCGCCGCGCTCCTAGCGCGCGAGCGATGCCTTGCCTGGCCCTCAGATCGGCTCGCCAGCCGCCTCGTCATGCTGGGGGGCCAGATGGGGGGGCACAGGCTGGTCGCGCTGCTGGACGCCCCGATCAGGCCCTGGGGCAGGCTGCGTCGCCCCGAGACCGAAGCATGGGAGCGCGCGAGTAGGACGGAGGAGTTCTGGTGAGCTGGGAACGGGGGGAGCGCGAGTGATTCGGCGTTTGGCTTGAATTCAGTCGCCGAGGTTGCCTCGGTCAAGCACGTCTCTGTTCTACTCGGCATAATCAAATGCTATGAGATGGTCAAGCTTCATGTGTTGCATTATTTTCTATTAAATATATCGCGAAGTTAATCTCCCGCTCAGATTGGCCTGGGTGTTGATCCAGAGCTATATGGCCCCACGTAGGATCGATGCTTGCGGCCCGATGTCAGAGGCGTGCGTCAGTTTTCAAGGGATTCTTGCTGGTGGCTCTGCCGCGTCGGCTGTATTCTCGTCGAGCCCATCAAGCGAACGATCGGTGGGTTCCCTAACGAGCGCGCCAGACCTTTAATGGGCGATGTCTCGTTGCAGTGGCGCGGACCCGATGTGAGAGACGCGCGCCAGGTCCTCGGGCCCACGAAGGAGTTGCGTCGCCAAGTGCAGGATATAGGATTGCTCCTCCAGCCCAACAAGTCAGGTTTCGTTGCGCCGACCACTGATGCCGACAAGAAGCTCAGCGTGACAGCACGCGCTCTAAGTTCTGCCCGTCGCAAGCACATGCGCAAACTCGGACGCGACATGCATGGCAGGCGGGTGCACCGCAAGATGGGGTCCACTAGGCGAACGGCCTCGTGGGAAAAACGGAGGCGCGTGGCCGCCCTTCGCAGAGTTGCAGGCCGCCAGCATGTTGCAGGCCTCTGGAGAACGGGATTGATACCTAGCGCTGGACACGGATCGGGGGTTACGGGGGTGACGGATGCCATTCTGGTTTCGTTGCGAGCGTTCGCGGCGAGCTTGCTAGGAGCCAAACAAAGGCCGAGTGCACGTCACTGCTTATTTGCACACGCGCCGAGACCTGTCGTGCGACCCCGTGGTCGACGCGACAATCCCGCTCGTGCAACGAGATTGTTGCTGGGTTTGGAAGCGGAGGGTCTCGGATGCCGATGTACGTACAGCCTGGGAGTCCGCTAACAAAGTGTTGTCGGAGAAACCGCATTTGTCGCGAGTGCGCGGGCCCGTGGGGGCTGTTTGGTTTTCCATTCGGCGCGCGGGTTGGGCCCTCATCGGGCCCCGCCGCGTTTTGACGGGCCAAGGGGATGTTCTGTGCCTTTTTACCACGTGTCCCAGCGATGTGCGACAGCTGCTGCGCGAAGACATCCATCGCGCGCAGCGCGTGCAGCTTGTGACCAGCCTGCCAGAGGCGACGGGCTCCGATGTCATCTGGGGCCGAGCGCTGCGGGCCGGAGTGGGCAAGATCCCCGACCCTGTCAGGAGAGCTACGTACCGCGCGCTGTTGGGGCGAGCCCTATGGCCCCCAGCTAGGAAGCACCAGCACGGCTACGCAGAATCCCCGCTTTGCGATTTTTGCAAGGCAGTGCCAGGCACTGCTGGGCACCAGTTTTATGAGTGCGAGGCTCTGTGGGACGCAGATGTGGACACAGACGCCGCTCCGCGCATGCCTAACGACTGCCTGGAGCACCGAGCGTGGCTGAAAGGGAAGGCCTATGGGACCCCCCCTCCCCTGATTTCGATTCGGTTGAGTTGGTGCATGGACTTCCTTTTTCGGGCTGTTGCAATTCCGCACATCCCCCGGCGCGGCGAAGTTTTCGAGTTAGGAGCGACGCGCAGGGAATGGGGGCACCGCGTCTACACGGATAACTCGGGCCTTTCACACTCGTTTCTCTGAACTGGCCAGATGCGGCTGGTCGGTGGTCGAGATTTCGCTTGGAGGGTGGCCCATCCGCGCTCGATGCGGTCCGCTGGCGGGTAGCCGCCGGACTGTGCCAAGAGCGGACAGAGAGGCCATCCTGCAACCGCTGCGAGTTGCCCCCATCGGGCCCTGGCGTAGCGTCGGATTACCTGTCCGCGGTGCGCAAAGGGAACGAGTTGAGCAAGCTTCTGTCGGCAGGATCGGGCAAGCATGCCGCGACTTGGCGAGTTGTTTTTAGTTTGTGCGAAGGGCGCTCGGAGCGGCCCCGTTTTGTCTGGACCCCTGCCCACGGGAACCTTGATCAGGTCCTCGAGGACCAGGCGGCCCTAGGGGTTGACGGGCCACGGCGCGCGTCGGATTTCCCGGGAAATGTCCAGGCTGATTTTGTTCGCTCGGATCGGGGCCGCATCTCACGAGCTGTCGGAGGTGGTCTCCTCCGACGTCAGAGCGCAGCCTCAGGCCGTTGCGAAGTCAATCGGCTTCGCCCGCCGAGCTGCGCAGCTGGCCGCCGCCAGCGCACCCGAGCTGGCCGCCCGCGCAGCGCCGCGAGAGCCGCCCCCGCCCCAACCTCCGCACGCTGGCCCACGACCTGGAGGAGGTGGAGCCGGAGCGGGGCGGCGGGGGAGCGCGGTGCACCTGGCGCCGCAGTCCTGCGCGCGCGGGGGCCAGCCGAGCGAAGCTCCAGCAGCCTGGGGCGCTCCGCAGGCTGGCGCCGGCGCGGGCGGCGAGGCGGGGCCGCGCGCGACCCCGGGCGAGGCGCGAAGCCGTGAGACGCGCGCCGGAGCGCCCAGAGCTCGCTGGAGAGGGGGCCAGCGGCTCGGCTCCGCCGGCGCCCCCGCCGGCCTTCCAGCATCTCGAGCACGTCGTGGAGGCTGCCGAGACTCACATCCTGTGTGGGCGGCGCGGTGCTCGGGCGTCGATCGGAGCACCGCATCTCCGTGCGTTTCTGCTGCCCTGCAAGGGCGCGGCCACGGCGCGCCAGGACCGGCACCGTGATTCTGTCCTGGCTGGGCGCGAGCCTCCCACCTATCGGGGGAGCGTAAGACCCGGGTTTGCCGGGACTCGGGTTCGCCATCGTTTTTTGACGACCGCGACTCGGATTTTGACGAGGAGGAGTTTCGTGGAATGTCTGCAGCGGGAGGCCTCGTCAAAATGCAGGCTCGGCCTCGTCATTTTTTTGACGACCTCGTCGGGAATTTCCGAGTCCCCCGTACCCGGGTCTTACGTCTCCCCGAACCTAGCCGAGACTAGGCGCCTTCGTGTTTGGCGGGTGGCGTTCAGGGTCTGCTGGGTGGGTGGCGCGCGCGTCCTCCGCAGGTTTCTGTGTCGCGGCTCTCTTTCCTCGGGGCCCGCGGCCACCTGCCCTCCATGGTCCGTGTTCCGCTTCACGGTGTCGAGCATGCTGCGGCTATGAGCCGCCGTGGTGCGCCCGCCGTGCGCGGCGTCCATATGTGCTAGGCGGGTGTGCCTAGCTTTCAGGCCCCGCCTGCCCGCGGCCATAGTCCGTTTCACCGCGGACGATGGACCCAGCTGGTCCCTGGTTCCTCCTACTCTTCCTCCTTCTCCTCCTCTTACTCCCTCATCGTCATCCATGTCCTCATATTCAGCACTCTCTCCACATCCTTTTTGCCGATATCTTCCTCATGTCCCCAACGTCTATTCCCCCCTTCCCCTGTCCCGCTTCTCAGGATGTAGTTCAGGGGAGGTCGATTTAGTCATCGACCCTGGCTTTTTCTTTGCGCCCACTCCGTACACATCCGGCGGCTTCCTCCAGATTGATTTTGGTCGGCATCTCTTCGATCCGGCGCAAGATGTTTGGACCCATCCCTTCCCCTCGTCCCATACTTCCCGGACGTCGCGAGAAACAAACGCGACGTCGTCAGCTTTTCGATCCGGCGCAATTGTTTTGGACCTGCTCCTTCCTTTCGTTCCCAGACCTTCCGGGCGTCGCGAGAAACAAACGCGACGTCGTCAGCTCTTCGATTCGGCGCAAGAGTTTAGGACCTGCTCCTTCCCCTCGCTCCCAGACCTCCAGGGCGTCGCGAGAAGCAACACACGCGACGGAAGGTTTTCGATCCGGCGCAAGAGTTTAGGACCTGCTCCTTCCCCTCGTTCCCAGGCCTCCCAGGCATCGCGAGAAGCAACGCACGCGACGGAAGGTCAGGCCCGGCTCGGTTGCCGCTCTCGGACGATCTCTCCGGGGGCCACGTCGTGAACGAATCCCCGTCGCCAAAGATCCTCGCCCGTCTCTCCCGCACCTTTCCGTGGCCCCCCCCCCTTCCGCTCGTGCACCCTCCTCCTCCTCTTCCTCCTCCTCCTCGTCCTCCTCTTCATCATCATCATCATCATCATCATCATCATCATCATCATCATCATCATCATCATCATCCCCCTCCCCCTCCCCCTCCTCCTCCTCCTCCTCCTCCATCCTCCTCTCCTCCCCTCCACCCTTCCTCCCTCTTCTCCCTCCTCCTCCTCCTCCTCCTCCTCCTCTCTCTCTCTTCCCCTCCTCCTCCTCTCTCCCTCCCCCCCTCCTCCTCCCCCTCCTCCTCCTCCTCCTCCTCCTCCTCCTCCTCCTCCTCCTCCTCCTCCCCCTCCTCCTCCTCCTCCTTCTCTTCCCCCTCCTCCCCTCTTCCTCCTCCTCCTCCTCCTCCTCCCCGTCCTCCTCCTCCTCCTCCTCTCCCTCCTCCTCCTCCCCCTCATCCCCCTCCTCCCGCACCCTCTCTCTCTCTCTCTCTCTTTCTCTCTCTCTCTCTCTCTCTCGCGCGCCATCGCCATCCCCCCTCCGCTCGTGCGCCGATCGCCCCCTCGCCACCGTCGACGTGACCTCGGCTGGCCGCTTGCTCGCCCCTGGCAGGAACTTCCACGTGCAGCAGCAGCGTTTCCAGGCGCCGATCCCCGCCGTCTGCCGCGGGCCCTCCTTCGGAGGAAGGCAGTTGTGCAGATACACCGCGTTCTTCCCCTGTCCTCCCCATGCCCTCCCAGGAGGGGGAAGCAGCCAGAGGAGGAGGGGGGAGGAGGAGGAGGAGGAGGAGGAGGAGGAGGAGGAGGAGGAGGAGGAGGAGGAGGAGGAGGAGGAGGGGGGAGGAGGAGGAGGAGGAGGACGAGGACGAGGAGGAGGAGGAGGAGGAGGCGGAGGAGGAGGAGGAGGGGGGGGGTTCTGTGAAAATGTGTGGTTCCACATCTCTGCTCCTTCTGGCGTCCCGGCAGCCCCCTCCCGAGCGTCCCAGCGCGGCTGGTTGGGTGCGTGTTGAGGGGATCTCCTCAGAGTGGGCGTCTCCTCGCGACGGGCTCCACGCGGCCTGAGCACCCTCTGAGGGCTCTGAGCGGGCCGCGCGGCCCAGCCTCAGCGTTGCACTCAGGCTGGCCAGCGCGCCGCTCCTGGTGCGTTTCGCCAGGGGGTCGTTTCTCCTTCTCCCGCTCTCTCCTCCCCCCTCTCCTTGACCAACTCATGTTGTGCTGGAGCTTCCTAGTTGGCCGTCCAGGCCGTGGGGGTTATCACACAACGGCGTGGCTAGGCGACCGCGCGCTGCTCATGGCTGCTCGGCTCGTCTTCTTTCCTTTCTCGTTTCTCCTCTGCGTGCCCTTCTTCCCTTCCCCAGTTGCCTTGATATGCGTTTGGGTTGAGTCGTATCGCCCCACTCTGTGCTCCAGGCCTCCGCGTGCAGCTCTCTGACGACTTGCTGAGTGGATCGACGTCGGTTGCGAACCTGCGTTGCCGTGGGTCGGATCTCACCACCTGGGGGAAGAACGGGAAGCAGCCCTGGACTGGACTCCAGGACTGGCGGGATCCCCAACGGCGCCACGACCGAGCTCTGCGTCTGGACAGGTGAGCGGCCACGGTCGCTCTGCGCAGGCCGCTGGCTGGCCCGCCCTTCCCCGGGGATGTTTCTCCATCCTCCTCCTCCTCCATCCTCCTCCTCCTCCTCCTCCTCCTCCTCCTCCTCCTCCTCCTCCTCCTCGAGCCTGCTCCTCCTCCTCCTCGAGCCTGCTCCTCCTCCTCCTCCTCCTCGAGCCTGCTCCTACTCCTCCTCCTCCGCCTCCTCCTCCTCCTCCTCCGTGCGTCCTGCCCGGCCAGGGCTCCCGCTCCCGGGGGTGGTAAGGGGGGAGAGGCGCGAAAGCCCGAGCAGCTCCCCGAGAACAGCCCGACGCCGTTGGCGGGCGACCAGCCGGCCGATCAGAATTTGACGGCGGGCCACGCACGGGAGTCTGTACGCCCGAGATGGGCACGGAAAGAATGGGTACGATGCCCAACAGCAGTTCCTGTTCATTTCGAACAGGACTCGCTGTCCGCGCCTCCGCGGCCTGTGTCCATTCGAGACAGGAGGCCTCCTGCCCAACAGCGGCCGCTGTTGGTTTGGGACAACATTTGTTGTTGGGCATTGTACCCATTCTTCTGGTACCCATTTCGGGCGTCCAAAGGGAGGGCCGTCGACGCGGAAGAGTCGTCTGGCAGGCGGCGGCGACACGAGACGGTACGCTTTCAAGCAGGCGATGGCAAGCATGGATCAAGAGGGCGTGGATGATCGACGGGTCCCGTTTCCATGGGAAATCACGGATTTCCGCCGCCGAGCGAGGCGGCACCGGCCGCATCTTGCGGAGGTCGCCTCCCCCGATCCGTGGAAATGGCGACCGCGCGCCCAATCCATGGATCGCTAATCCATGTGTGCGCGCCCCCGACTCAAGGCTGGCTCCCCCTGACTGGTGGGTAGGCGAAGAGAGGCGAGTCTCTCTTTTCAAAGTTCGCGGAGTGCGAGGGTCATGCCCCCACGCGAGGGCCTCGATCTCCGAGGGACCTCCCACAGCGGGGCATCACCGTGGGGCCTCCGAGGACGCGTCGGGAATAGCACCTATCGCGCCAAACCTGGCAAGCGGAGCAGGTGTTCTTGAGGCACAGCCTACCTGCGGAAAAGTAACCGCCCTCCGTCCACTGGTAAGGGCATCCGAGGAAGTGCCGGTCGAGACGGTCCTTTTGACAAAGAGCCGCCCCTTCCAGGAAGCTGCCGGGCACGTCCACTAGACCGCTCCGTGCTGAGCGGTTCAGGCGGTGACGGGCCACGAGGTCTGGAGGTCTGGGGATTGGCCTTAAGTCGGGCATGTCTCTCTACAGGAGGAATTTCAAAAAATAGTTTTTAAAAAAAAGTCTGGGGACGATTTTTTGAGTTTTCTTGCTTTTCCAATGTTTTGAATATTTTTGTGAGTATTTCTAATTTCTCGTCCAAAATCCGCCTGTAGGGGGACAGGCCCGACCTAAGATTTGCCCCGGACCGCTCGTGTGTCATCTTCTGCTGGGCGGGGGCGCGTGGCTTGTCCGTCCAGGACGCCGCTGAAGTCCAGCAGCGTGCTCGCCCCATGCTGCCGACGTCGATGCATCGGCGATGCAAGAGCATGGCATCGGCGATGCGGCGCGATCCTCCAACTCGATATGCCCGGACTCCATTTGGGAGGCCTGCACCTCGGTCCCTCCATGTCCTTGGATGGAGCCAAGCTGCCATCGCATTCTGGGTTCTTGGTGGCCCAGCAGATCTGGGCCCGCCAGATCGAGTTGGCACCCGCAGGCCGATCGGCTTGTACCGCATCCTCCCTCGTCCCGTCCTCCTCTCCGTTCATCGGGCGTCTCGCCTCCCCGCTCTACGCTCACACATTTTGAATACTACTACTCCTTTTTTCCCTGGACCTTGTTCGAAAGATGTTCGATCCTCTCCGCGCATGTTTTTCTGCACAAGATGTCAAAAGCTGATGCCCCTTCGTGCTTTTGTAATCCGATTGGTTTCGGTGTCTACGGATGGTGTTCCCGCTGCAGCGCTGGCCTCATTTTTGGATCGGTGCTTTGCTCCTACCGTTCAGAATGGCGCTCTCGCCCCAGCGCGGGCCACTTATCTGGATCCGAGTCATTTTTATCGTTGTCGCCCCTCTCATTTCCCCTCCTCCGCCTTTTCCTTGTCCTCCTGCTCCTCCCGCTCCTTCCACTCAAGTCACTGCTGCTGCTGTTCCTCCTCGTCCACCTCCTTCTCCTTTTCCTCCTGCTCATTCTCCTGTACGCACCCCCCTTTTCCCGATAACGCATGACACGACGGGGTCTTTTTGCGAGTTCCACGTTGGCTATGACACGCGTCCGCGGATAGAGAATCAATCAGCGCCATGGGAAGATATGGGAAGGGAGGGATAGGATGTCAAATGTGGCCCGAGCGCACCTAGCTTGCCCCCCCCCTCTCTCCCCACTTCCGTTGTCTTGTTTTGGGTTGGCCAGCCGTGGCCGCAGGGCACACCCCAGGACACCCAAGCAGGCCCCCAAACGCCCAAAGATCCTCGAACCCCACTCCTGGCTTCTCCTCCCCGCTCCTCATTCGCATCGATGCTCTCCTCTTCCTCCTCCCCTTCCACCTCATTCTCCTTCTTTCAAGGTGCCCAGAGCTCCTCCCCCTCCTCGCTCGCTCCTCGCTCGCTCCTCCTCCTCCTCCTCCCCCTCCTCCTCCTCCCCCTCCTCCTCCTCCCCCTCCTCCTCCTCCCTCTCCTCCTCCTCCTCCTCCTCCTCCTTCTCCTCCTCCTCCTCCCCCTCCTCTTCCTCCCCCTCCTCCTCCTCCCCCTCCTCATCCCCCTCCTCCTCCTCCTTCCGTAGCCATTTTGGCTCAAGATGCCTAGTTCCACAGTGGAACAAGTGGATACCGCTAGTCCGCGGCCAGTGCCAGGGCTCTTGAGCCCGACAGCTTTGTTCAACCCTCCGTGTGCCTCCTGCAGCCCGCAGGTGAGCTTCCTCTGTTCCTCAGCTCGTCCATGGCGCCTCCGCAGCAGCGCAGCGCCTACGTCAAGTGCCACTCCTGCTCGTACGCCTGGAACTACAAGACCAACCAGACGTGCTACTGGTGCAGCAAAGCCTTGGCGCCGTGGACAGATTCCCCGCCTCCAGTTCAAGGTGCCTGGGCGGCCCGCGCCAAGGCCGCAGGCCAGGCCGACTCCAGCTGCACCCAGCAGCCCAGCCCTGACGGTGGATGGGAACCGTGGGCGTCATGGCCCAAGTCCCGCCGCCGCCGCGGCAATGGCAATGGCAAGAACCAAGAGGACGACTGGTGGGCCAACAAGAACGACACCCCCAAGGCGCGCTCCGCAGAGGACATCCTTGCGGAGCTCCAGGCGATCGCCCCCCACATCGACAAGGCAGCCATCGACGGTATCAAGTCGCAGATTCCGCCGCCCCAGCCGCAGAAGCCAGCCGACCTCAACGACATCTACAGCCGCGCCCAGGCTACGGAGCGCCGCTGCAAGAACAACCTGGAGAGGCTGCTCGAGAGCGAGCAAAAGGCGCTCAGCTGGTACACCGAGCGCAAGGCGGCGTCGGAGGAGGCCGCCTACAAGTTGGCAGAAGCCCAGGCCGAGGCCCAAGCCGCTCTCGATGCACTCCAAGTCGCTCGCAAGGGCGGCACGGCTACTCCCACGGCCTCGCAGCAGAACCCAACGTTCAACCTCGCCAGCCTCCTCGAGGACGGTGACATATCCATCGAAGCGGGTTCGGCGTTCGATCTCCAAGGCCTTGACATCGACGACAGCGACCGCCAGGCATGGGAATCCCTCCAACAGCGCTTCGCCACGGAGCTCAAGGCCAAGGTCACCGAGCTCTTCGGCAACACCGCCAGCCGCATCAGCCAGCTCCGCGCAGAGGCCAGCACCATGCGCACGCGCTTCGCCTCCAAGCGGCAGCGGTCCGACGAGGACGGTCATGCCCGAGAGGGAGGTGGACCACCGCCCGCCGCCTCGGCGGCAGCAGGCGAACCCCCAGCGGCAGCCGCAGCGGACGCTGATGGCTCTGCGGCCTCTTCGCCAGCGGCGCCAAGCGATGAGCCTCCCGCACCTGCTGCTGGCGCTACTTCTGACGGCAGCTTCGCCGCACAGC